GTGAAAGGTGATTGGATATCCCCTTATAAATTATTTAGTAGTATGAATAAGCCTGTTAATGGGCCTTTTCTCCGGTTCGTGTGTTCATGGTGAGTATTCGTTAGTCGAAATATCTGTCAAATTCGACACGGGGTGTAATATGGTGTTTGGAGGTAAAGGAGAACGACGAATTCAGAGGTTTCACTCGTGAAATCAAGATTTTTATGGTTCCAGCTACGATTATGGTGTTTAAAAAAATAAATCGAATGTTAAGATCGTTCGTTTGGACATTAGCTCCCAAAGCAGGTGGGTGACAAATTTAGAGGATATTACTATTTGAAACGAGGGTTTGTATTCATTTGCAATTTCCCAATCTCATTCCGTCCAAATTCGTCTGATTTCATGAGAAATCGTACACCTAAATAAACCAAATTTAAAGGATGACATGATTGCGCAACCACCTTCGTTTTAGTTACATTACCATTCGATATTTTGCTCGTCAAAACGGTTGGGTGATGGTAGCTTACTGGTGTTTATCCTAAAACACGACATTGAATATTGGCAAGTTCAAATGTTGGCAATTTATGGGTTCTATAAATGAGTAATTCAACCAGTTTTATGGATTAAAGGGTTTTTAGAGTCATAAAACCTGTACAAAATAGGTGAATATACGCCTATAGTTCATATACTTCACAAATTACTGATGAGAATTAAGGTTTACCACAATGGTTCTAGAATTCTTCATATTCAGTGTGGCCAAGAGGTACTGCGTTATCTGTCATGCTGAAAGTGATATTTACCGCGTTCTCGGAAGCACGTGATGTCTTGAGTCCACTTTATGCTGTTAATTAATAACGGTTGTGCTTGCAGTCCTGTGGAATGCCGTTTTTAATCATACAAACAGTGCATATTGGTGGAATTCACTTGGGATGCAAATCATCTGTGCAACAACAAATGAAAGGTTCACTTCAAAATATTTATGAACAGTTGCTCCGGTTAAAAATGCATTGTTCAGAAAAGGTCTGCTTAATTTAGAACTATCGGTTCAGCCACTAGTGTTAAGCCGTTATATCGGAAAAGCTTCAGCGTGTTCATGAAACTGCTGAGTGGTCCACGAAAATCAACCAGACGCCTATCCTCTCAACTAAACATCAAATAAACACATCATGCCAGAAAATGGTGAGGTAGGTGGATACGCGAGCATGCAAGGTAAAGCTAGTGCAAGCAGTTTATTTATAACAAATGGCAGGCGTTTTGATAGTTATCATTAGCCCTTTAGTTGACTTCGGGCTTCACAGAGGGGAGGAGGAACATCAAAATGAGAAGAATTCGAGAGGGAGAACAGAAGAGTGATTCACAGATGTAAAAGAAACAGACAGACACCAAGGCTCAGAAAGGGTAAGATGAGTACTGTGGTAGGGGTCGAATATGACATACAGTGAGGTGATGGTAGTTTGAAATCAGAAGTCAACTGCCGGTTGATAGACTTTTTTGCCATATGATTATACGTTGCCCAGGGTGCACCACGAGGAGGTAAGTCTATCTCACACCCCAAGTGCAAACAGTAAGACCTCGGACCGCATAAAACGACTACGAAGAGTTGGAAGTAAACACTCGCAACATATTTGCGGTGATCACATAAAATGACTTGACAAGTATCCCAAAGCAGGCTGAGACATGTTGAGTTGTGTACCGAAATATAAGAAGAACACTTTCAACAACACTTGATTTAGACTATTGGAAGTTCAATATAGTGCTATTCATATTATTTTGTACTTACTAAAGCAAAGACCTTTACCACTTTAGTCACTCCGGTACAAACTATTTAAGTATGCGAATCTTGGCTTACTTTTATTGCTGATGGCAATGCAAAAGCTCTTACAACTTTTAAGTCGAAAGGTGGAAAGAGGAAAATGGTTCGAAAAGAGATGAAACAGGGTCGAAAAGGAGCTTAATAGAGAAATTTGAATGCCAAGATTTTTACTTCATTCGACTTCTAGGAGGACTGAACTCTCTACTTTAAAATAATGGAAAAAATGTGCCAAATTTTCATAATCTAGCCCTTAAGTGATGAGTGAGCCTATATTAAGATCTAGTTAGTCACTTGAAGGGAATGAACTTTTGGTAGTTCCGCTTTGACTCAGCAATTTCTTTTTATGGTCAAATAATTCCCATGATGTATTTTATTTACAACCAATTTACAATTAAATCTAATTTCAAATCTTTATAGTTCAAGCCGCATCTCAAGTTGTTCTTTAAAGGGTTAAGATTTGGAATGTTTACATTATTAAAACAAAAATGAACACCACATATACGAACATGTTCTATTGAAATGCGACATTTATAAACTGAACTAATTGGATCGATTCTTTAAATATATAAGGAAGTATTACTTAAGCTTCTTAAATTTGACGAACTTATCAAGTAAGGACTTGTTAGTAGGTTTGATCTTTAGAGCCCTAGAGACTTAATACTATNTGTATGGAAGACCTGACCTCAGATCAGTCGCGAGTACCCGCTGAACTTAAGCATATCAATAAGCGGAGGAAAAGAAACTAACCAGGATTCCCTTGGTAACGGCGAGTGAAGAGGGAGGAGCCCAGCACCGAAGCCTGCGGCAGTTTTGCTGCTAGGCAATGTGGTGTGTGTGGGTCGGCTCGTGGGACCATCACTCCACTCAAAGTCCAGCATTGAGTATGGCTTCACTGGATTTGGCTCATAGAGGGTGAGAGGCCCGTACGGGTGGAGGTTCAGACATGTGCGATGGCTCACCAGGCCGGCCTCAGAGTCGGGTTGTTTGAGATTGCAGCCCAAAGAGGGTGGTAAAATCCATCCAAGACTAAATACTGCCACGAGTCCGATAGC